TCTGTTCTCCCTTCCTACCTTAAATATGGGCGATCTCTGCTGAATGAGGACGAGCTTCCTTGCCTTTGAGACGAAGACTGTTGAGGAAGAAAAAGAAGAAGAAAAGGAGCGATAATGTAAACATTGCATTCAGAGTTTGCACAAGGCAATAAAAAGAAGAAGAAGGGTAAACAAAGAAAAACCCCAAACCTTGAATCGAAGTGGCCAACAGCGGCCCGTGCAGCGAGTAAGGATCGGGCCCGGCAAAGGGACGGACACTGCTGGAGCGAATGTAGCCCACTAGTTCGAGGTCTTTCGGGTCACTTTGGTCTGAAGATGAAGACGATGTCTTCTTGAGAAGCGAGCTGACCAACAAGTCACAGGCCAGCTGGGGCACATTGCCCACCGAGACACAGGGCAGCAGGAGGGTGTAGCCGTCCCACTGGTGATCAACGACCACCTCCTCATCATCCTTGGCGGACACGAAAAAGGAGTTTTCCATCTTCATCTTCAGATCTACAACAACAAAAAAGAAGGTGATGAAAAAGTAAAATCTGCAAGTCATTGACAGCTGCTTACCGGTAGTTCTGTTTTGTTTGGTGCTCGGTGACACTCGTCAGCACTCGGAAAATGGAAGACAAGTTTGACAGTTGAAACGGAAGCGGATGACAAAGTTTTGTTGTTCCAAGCGGAAGTTCCAAACTCACTTCTTCACTGACAAAACAAAGATTTCCCCGAGAAAGAAGTTGATGCTGCTGACAGAAGATCTGTTTTGGAAAACACTTTTTGCAAATCACACATGTGCGCGCCAATGTCGACATCTGGCGCCAGGCAAAGAATCAGCATTTTTCAGCAGCAGCCGTTTTTGCTTCTCTCGCTTTTATTTCTTTTGTCGTTTTCCACTTTCCTGCCGCCAAACTTATCAACTTTTTTGCCCGATTCTAAAATGCTACTCAGCACCATCCATGAAGCTTCCATGGCCTCCAACAGAAAGTCCTCAACAAGTCCTCGGCACATCTTTATCCGGCGGCACTTACCACTACTGTGAGTATTTTTACCACCATAATTTCTTCTTGATTTGGTATTCCCTAATGCTCACATTTTATTACCGCCGTTTTCGTCCCTCTAAAGTGTCGGGCTAAGATGAAGTCAATGGTGATGGTGATCATCGTCGCGGTAATGAGCTAACTCCTGCTAAAATAGCGGGGCGCCCGCCACTGCTAATTATAATTAGACCTCTAACCTGCTGCTAAATGCCTGCTTCTCCTGCTCTTGTTGTTTTTGCCGCTGCTGACCTGAAGTCAGTCAGTTCCTCCGCAACAGCAGAAGCAGCAGCAGCAGCACTTTTGTACCAAAGTTGAACTATCCATTTCTCAGCCCTTTGAAGCACGAAGTTTCGACCGCAGCAGCAACAACAGCAACAGCGTGAGCCAAGCCAAGCAACACGTTCTCCTGCTTAATCTCTTTCTCCTTTTTCTGACAGATCTTAATGAGGGAGAGAGAGAGAGAGAATACTTTTGCAGCCATCTCGCGTCATGTTGCTCCTTTTGCACTCATTTGCGCAGTGGACAATGGCCAAGACTGGAGAAGAGGGGAGAAGTGGAGAAGAGTGGAGAAGGGCCGTCCATTATCCTCGACACTGGAAAAGATAGATACAACGACTGACTGTGGTGGTCGCCGCCGCTGCTGCTGCTAACTGGTCATATCCTGTCTGGTGTAGTGGTCGTCGACCACCGCCACAACTGACCTCTCTTTCCTTTTCTCTTTCGCTTCGGTGGTACCACCACCAGCGCCGGTGAATGTACCTGTGCACGGCAACAACCACCACCACCACAGCAGCAGCCGCCACCTTGCACTGGACATTGCACCAGCAGCATTACAAGTGGTGCTGGTAGAAGTAGAAGCTCTTGTTCACCTACCTACCTGCCTACCTACCTGCCTGCCTGTTAGCAGGCGTTTTCCCCGGTGAGTCTGCTTCGATTTGACGATCGGTGGTTGTCTGACCAACCAAAGTTGCTGCCGGTGGTGCTGGTCAGGCCATCGCTCGAAGTGTAGCGTACCACCATCTCGCTATCACCACCACTACCGCCACCAGCTCCCGAGGCAAACCCGTCTTTTTTTTCTCTCTCTCTCTCTCTCTCGCCTAAAAACTCCGAAGCACGCTTGTCAATCATCGCTATTTTTATAATGGCCTGGCGCTGGCTCTGGCCGTCTCTGGCTGGCGCATTAATAATGAAGACTGGCTGACAACTGGCTCGGTGTCTACCTCCCTCTCACTGTTTGCCCATCAGCAGCAGCATCAGTCAACAGTCAAAGAGCTCTTTGGGGAGAGGCAGTGATTGTAGAGAGTTCAGTTTGATTTCCCCCCTCTTTCCTCTCTTTTTACTTCTGCTCTCTGCACACACACACACACCTGATGAATACATTAGGCGTCAGTTTGCCGAACTGAAGTTGGTAGTACTAGGAGTACTGAGTGGAGACGCCGGGCAGCAAAAAACAAACCGGCTGAATTGCTTTTTTTTGCTGCTGAAGATTTGCTCGAGGAGGTACGAACTGAAGAAGGAGAAGAGAGGAGAGGTGCCTGCTTCGAGGAACAGCTCGGTGATTTAAAATCTCATTTTCTTTCCCTGCCTTTTGTCTTTTGTCGGCGACGATTAGTTGCTGCACAGTCAGACGCACAGCACGCTAACTCCAATGATCATCTTCTAATTGCATTATCAATTAGAAAGAGGAGACACAGGGAAGGCAATTTTGCTGTTGCTGCCGCTGCAGATGACGATGATGATCACCACTCTTTACCTTTCTTACAGCATTCATTTACTGCTCCTGCTGCTTATCGATCTTCTTTTCGCAACTTTTTGTGATTTGCCTGCTGAGATGGCTGCTGCTGCAGTTGCAGTGCGTGCCGTCTGATTTATCAGTCTGCTCTTGTTCTGCCACCACCGCCACCACCACCACGACCACCTGTTACAAAGTAGTACGATAGTTGTCCAGCACTGTCAGCCAAGTTATGTGCTGCTGCTGTACGGCAAAACACGAGCTCTGTACAGCAGAAACAGAAAAAACTATTTCTGATTGTCACTACTACCACCTGCGATTACCACCTCTTTGAGGGAGCGTCTTCTGGTACCCACAACCGGCTACTACTATCTCAGCAGGATCTTCTAATTTGGAGAAGGAGAAGTAGTGGAAACAGTATCTCAGCAGTTTGAAGTGTGATGGTCGCCATTACCAATTTTATTTTACTTTATGCTACTTTTTAATACTCATTTGATGCTCCTGATGATGATCATGATCGGAGGCATTAGCAATTGCCTGAGCACACTAAAGTAAATTGCGCCCAGCGGCGCTGGTTGCCCGGCACTATCACAGGCAGGCAGGCAGGCAGGCAAAAAGCAGCAGCACATACCGTCGGACAGGTCTCGTCTCGGCCAGCGAACCCCCTCACTCACTCAGAAAACTCATTCAGGCAGTCTTTCTTCTCCTTACATAATACTACCCTTGCAGGGAGCTACCTGTGCACCTGTCACACTGCTCAGTTAGAAGAAGGCAAAGGAGAAGACCTGTGTGCTCACCTTTTCTCTGAAGAGACAGGACTCGTTTGAGGTACTCGTCTTAGCACAGAGAGATGGGAGCCATAGACAGAGAATGGAGAGCAAACAGGACAGGCAGCAATACTAGCAATACCACCACTACAGCCACTACCGACAAGCTCATGTGGTCTCAGTCAGACGAGCTGCAGACATGCAATAGAGAAATAGAGGCAGGCAGACACTTGTTGCAGAGTCGAAGAGAGGAGAACTGACTTGAGCTGAGGCAGCAGAAGCAAACCTGCTACACAGCAATCCTCACTACAGTCACTACTGCTACGACAATCAACAGCGACAGCAGCAGCAGTTATCATCGCAGGATTGTGCTGTGTAGTGTAGTACTAGTGTGGGGATTCTGTGCCTGTGCTGAAGAGAGAGCTAGAGAGCTAAAGCCAAAGTGCTAGATTGTGTTGCGCGCTGACCACTGCAATAGAGAGAAGTCGGGGGAAGTTCGACGACGCCAGTTACTGTTGAAGAAGAAGAAGAAGAAGAAGAAGCAGTGCAAGCGGCATCACCACCACCACCACTGCACACATTTCAGCTTCACTTTTCACCAGCCACTGCTGAACACCAACCGACGCCGACGCCGATCAAACACATCAGTACCTGCCTATCAACTGCTGTCAATTGATTGGAAGAGCTGTATATTGAAGGGAAAAGAAGTTTTTGGAATTATTGAAAAGTTAGCTGTTTTGCCTTCTTTTGTTTCGTACAAATTTTGCTGTTGTACAACTGCTGTTACCTACTACCTGCTGACAGGCACTCACCGACTCACCGACTGACTGACTTTTCAGACTAATAGTGCTGTGCTGAAAACTTTTCTGACTTTTTTTCTGTTCGCCTGCTGTTCACCTGTCTGTTGCCTTCCCTCTGCATTTGCACCGTTCCAAGTCCAGCGAAACGTGCCTCACCGCTATAAATAGTGACACCGGCGGTTTTCAGCAGAAGCAGCCACAGCTGAAAGAGCACTCTTTATCTTTTGTTTTTGGCTCTGTTCATTTTTAGTTTAGTTCTGTGTGTGTGCCTGGTGCGTACCGACACCGATCACCACAAATCACCAGCACCACCGTTGTAACTGATCACCTCGCACTGAGTGACGTGTTTTGCCGGCGATCATTTCCAAACTGTGTGTGCTCTGTTCTGTTCTGTCTGTCTGTGTGCCTCCTCATTTGATTACCATTACTACCTTCGTCTTCTTCTTCTTCTTCTGCTACCTGAATTTGATAGCCCCGTCATTTGCCGGCCGACTGTTGTGGCCACTGCAGAAACACAAAAGGGTTGCTTGGAAAAACCGTCGATTTTACTTTCAACAGCTAAACTCCACGATTGAAAATTATCATCATCACTAAACTTTTTTGTGTTTTGAACTCCTGAATTTCCGGTTTTTTACCTGCCAATTGACCAAACACAAAAACTCCCAAATCGAACACCATGGACACCGCCTTCTCCTCAGGTCGCTCAACGCCGCTGCACTGGGACGACTGCGACGATGAGAATGACCCTTGCGACGAGGTGGCCGAGTTTCTCGATGAGGACGACGAGCTGCAGGCGTTGCAAGTAAGTTTTAATATTCTTCTGAAAGCTTATTTTCAGGATTCTCACGAATTTCATCTAGCTTAGCTCAAAAATGCTCACTTCTTTTTATCTTCGCTAAACACGCACACATTTTTGTTTCTGCTACACTGTTTCCAAAGCAATGCATAGCTCGATTATCTGATTAATTTGTAGCCCTCGCTGCTGCTGCTACTCTGATATTTTTCCAGTCTAAATTGAAAGAGGGAGAGAGTATTTGCAACCCCATTTAAAAAAAATTAGTGTGCGAGCCAGCGAGCGAGATAAGCCCCGACCGAGAGTCTGTCAAAGCTTCTTGGCAAAGAAGAAATTCTCGAATAAATCTTGATTAACTGCTGCCACTGTCACTGCACTGATTACCGGCTAGCTTTGCCGTAAGTGTCGTTGTGAATCGACACGACAGTGATATCTCCTCTCTCTCTCTCTCTCTCTC